GGTCTCTGTCTCACCTTTTCTGCTAAATAATGAGTATGATTTTTCTGAAAATCAATACACTGGAAGCTTTCTAGATACTAATTCTCCAGTTCTTCAGTTGCTCATAATCTATATATATATATCTCCATCCTCCAAAAACACCTTTTAAAGAAACACTTTTCCTTAAATGCACAGCATTACAAAGGCTTTGTATGTGCAGCCTCCTGTAAGCTGAAGAAATATGATTAAATTGCACATGGGTAGACATGTAACATCACAGCTTTGCAATATGAAGTTCCCAGGGCCAAAATTAACCTCCATGTAATTCTGCACTATTATTTCTTGAACTAGCCTATTTTTTGCTAAGGTCTAAAACCCACAGTGTTTGTAGAATCCTGCAAAAACTTACAAATTATAAGTAAATGCACATGCCTCAGCTGTTTCAGATGATACTGTAATATTTTTTTCCACAGGAAAACACAATACTCTTGTGGTTTTTAAGTCTAAAGTGCCTTTCTCCTGACAAAGTCCAGTTATAAAATAAAATATGCTCATTCAGTGAAGCCAAGACCATGTAGTATTTCCATAACCCTTAACTCATTCATCTTCATCTTGGGCCTTCTCCTCACCACCATATCCGACTCAGATCTTACCCACTTTTAGTTTTTGTTTCTTCCTTGCTGTCATTCTTTTATTTCAGGTGTCCAGCTTAACAACGATAACTCTTAATAATTATCTATACAGATATTGCTTTAAAAGAGGGAAAGGTGGGGGCCTTGACCAGGCATGATGGGTTTTCATATAACAGCCTTTTCCCCAAATCTGGTGTTATTTGCAGTGTATGAAAACATTCATCTCCATAAAAGAAGTGAGAAAAAATAGCAAGACAGGATTTTGATCAATACCGATTCTGATTAAGTTTGATCACAGCACTTGACATTTTGAGCAAGTCTGGAAGTACACTCACAGAAAACTCAGGATCTGCTAAGAGTCTCTAGCAGTGTAACAGGGCACTGCTGAGTTCGGTAGGAAATATTCTGTCTACCCTTTTGTTTGCCTTACATGGCTATAATAAGGCAATAAGATGCATTAACTTAATTCTGTAATTAATCTCATTGCCAAACTCTCAGTAGTGATGTTATATTGCTGATTTATTTTAGGTTTTTGCTTGTCTTCATTTTTTCCTTGACAGAAGCAATGATGGTTTTATGAAGGTGTTTATAGAGGGAAAAAAAAAAAAAAACTAAAAAAATTTAAAAGCGTTTGAGATCAGTGTATATAAAAATGGTCATCAGATGCCATCAAAGCAACACCCAGGGAGCAATGTGTCACTTTTAGAAAAAGCAGTGTTCATTTGTATTCTCATATGGACACATCAGGGAAAGCTGTAAGGAGCAGATTTTTTCAAGCTGCAGAAAATGAGGTCCATAAAAACATGCATTCACTGATTGCTATATGTAGAAATGAGCAGGAGTGTTGTTAACAGTTTCTTCTCCTCTGGAGGCCCATACTAGAGCGTTAAAATATGAATGGGACAGATGTAGACACCTAATCTGGATGGGCCTGGGATCCGGAACTGATCTTCTGTTCATTGCACCTCTTTCTTTTTATCACTACATGGTTTATAAAAGAAAGCTCAGTTAAAAATTTAAAAAAAAAAAAAAAAAAAAAAAGAGATGCAAAGCAACAAGAATTTTCAAGCTAGCTTTACCATTTTTAAGCTAATTTTCTGAGACAGTCAGGCTCCTTCTCTTCTTTATCTCTTTATCTGAGGACTCATTCCCTTCCTTCTCACATGGGACAAAAATCTTCCTGAGATACTGAATCAGGAAGACTCTGCTCTGTGTAATTCTCATATCAGCACTGCTGTGTTTGAGGGCTTCCTAGGAACATATCAAGTGATGTGACTAACCTCTGTCATTTGTGTTTGGGGTTTTTTTTCTCTCATCTTCTTCTCCAGGGGGAGGAGTGTGTTCAGTGGAGTGTGTTGTTTGGAATTTATTTTATTTATTTGGTGCTGTACATAGGTAGATTGCAGTGTGTTTTTCTTAGAGAAACAAGGCCAAAGAAATGGATCTTGCACTATAAGAAAGGTGGCAAATTTTGAGCGAGCCCTTCATCCGTGTGGAAATTCATTAACTAATATTAATTACCTGGCTGGTCCCCAAGAAATCTCTGCCATGTGCGTAGATGAGCTACACCCTTCCCATAGGAAGTCTGAGTCCACTGGGGAGGAGGAACGTTCCTGTTCTCCATCCCAGAGGTCTCTGTGTTCACCATGGGCTCAGGCTATTGAGCATCCTAAACGTAAATACTGCCTCTCTTGGTTCTGGAGCTCAGCTCTGAGTGTGTGCCCTCTGCTGCTGATGCAATTAGAAGATAAATCTTGAATAGCTGTCACTGGATCAGAAGTGATAAATGGCTTCATTAAAAAAGAGAAAAAACAAAAAACTAATGTGATGTTCAAATTAAAACAAAATTATTATGTGTACCAAGCAAAGGGTTGGATAAATGTGGGAGAAGGGGAAGTTTATTTTATGAACTCTGATTATCTCATGGGAAACAAACTTCCATTTGTATTTAGAACAGAACAATTTCTAGCTTTAAGGCACTCTTTTAATCAGCAAGCTCATCTGATGAAATGCTGTAGGATTTACTTATATATCAAAGGATTTCCCTAGACATTTGAGGGATGCAACTGAATACAATTAAAAGATCAGTTGTAAGCACAGTTTGCGTTGCAGTTTGTTTGCTGTGCTTTGTGAGAGAAGTTAAGAACATGTGAACTTGTGTTTTAGCAGATAGTGAAGTATCGAACTGTATTACAAGAAAAGCTTTACCATTGCAGTCGCCTACTAGAGATGCAACTATCCAGCTCTCTTGGATCTGATGGTCTGTAAAAGAGAACAGAGAAACTAGTAAGCCAAGGTTCACAACTAAGAATGGAATCAGTTATGAACAATGTTTCTGGGCCTAATTCATTGCTGAATTAAACCTCATGTAATGTCATTGAAGTCAATGGCGTTATGCAGGGCATAAACGAGTGGAGCAAATTAGCCCCCTGTCTTGAAGCCAAGAAACCAAAGGAAAGAGTGATCCAATAAAACAGAGATGAAATGCTGATATTAGCTGAATGCCTCTGTTCTTGGTACAGTGCATTCTTTGTGTCCAGCCGTGAATATTTCATCCTTCCCAGGTGTAAAATCTTCCCAGCAGCACTATAAGGCAGATTTATAATAAATGACAATATTAATGATTTAGTTCTGTTGTAATGCAGCTTCTGGGCTCCTAACAGGAACTTAAGCAGTTAGGAGACAACATCTATGCTGGCTGTAGTGTGATCTCCGAATCACACTCTGATCTCTGATCTCTTCAGAAAAGTCTTGGGGCTGGCCTTTTTTTTTCTTTCTTTAGCTGCCTTTCGCCCATATAGATGTTAGAAGCTAGCGTTTGTAGATATGGAGAGCTTTCTACGTAGGAAACTGAGAGAAATACCAGGAATATGTCTGAGAGAGCTGGAGTAAACTAGGCACAGTCACTGCCTTGGGTATGAAGGCACTAGGAAACAGAATGGATTTGTTTGCATTTCATGTATACGGGTAATATTAAGGGCTCTAAGAACCCACAATGTTGCAGTGATTGTAGGTGTGGCTTAGTTTAAGGAAAAAAAAATCCATTTGCACTAACCAGTTTTCATAACAATACGTGGTCTCCTCTGAGATTTCACTCTTTTTACTGTCTGACCCACTGATTGTCTGAAATCAAGATCATCATCTCTCTCAGCCACAAATTGTGGGGTTTGCACCACACACAGAGAGAGCTCAGTTCTGGCTGAAGCATGTAGGCATTTTTATTATCTATATAAAGAACTAATTTCCAAAGTCTACAGTTGGGTTTACAGCTCATGAAAAGATCTCTGTGAGGTGACCTGCACAGAATAACACATTTCAACAGCACGGCTCACTTTTTACTACAAAGAGATCAAACAACCTGAATTCTTTTCACGTCCTACCACACAAACTTCAGTGATGAGCTAAACAATGAAAAATGTTTTGTCAGCAATCAGTAGAGAAAATCCTCCAGATGTACATAAAAGGGAAGCCACGTAAAGTGTATGACACGTGGCACATGCTGCTGCTCCAGTATTTGTTCCATTGCTTCTGGTGTAACTTCTCAGTGAAGACAGAACTTGGTGGAGGGACTAGCAGAAAACTTACATGATACTTGGCCTATGGCATGTGTGACATTGACCATTTATTCCCTTTTTTTATTTTTTCAGGTGATAGTGTTGATAAGCAATCTGCCATGGTACTCAAGAACCACTCCAGATTTTCATTTTCTTTAAATCCTGTTGCTTCTGTTTACAATGCACTTCTGGGCATGCTCTAAGGAGAGGAATAAGGGAATGAGATGATACAAATCTGCCAGCTGCAGCATGAGATGCTGAAGTAAACACATCCAGACCTATCCAAAGTGCCAGCCATGTCTTGAAGGCTTGAGGGCTATTGCAGATACAGAAACAAGTCCCACTAATCCACAGCCCTAATTTCAAGTGATAAAATATCACCATAAAGCCGGTTTACAATTGCACTGAATTCGTCCTTGGTTTAGCTGGCAAGGTTCTGCTAAAAACAGAGTTCTGCTAGAATATCAGGTTTTGTTGGATAGAAAATTTTATTTTGACAGAAATATTTACATTTTCAGTGGCTAAAAGCCCATCATCCAGCCACCAATTTGGTTTTCTGGTTTTCAATAATTAAAAAGAAGCCAATTCGGTAAAAGAAAAATTTTGATCAATTTTTAGAAGTTTTATTGAAGGGTGTGTTTCTCAAGAAAGATGCAAAAGTCTTCTGACTATTTCCAATTAAAATCAACAAACTGTTGAGAAGAATTATCATTACCTCATCCAACAGGGTCTGGTGAATTTTGTTATTTCTGTTTCTGTTGTTGCTTCTCTAAAACCACCTCTTGTTTTTCTATTGTATTTACTTTACATCTAATGCTATTACATTTTGTTTCAGCTGGCGGGCTTCATCTATGCCTGTTATGTTGTGAAATGTATTACTGAAGAAGAGGACAGCTGTAAGTACTAAAGCTTTATTACATACAAAATGAATTCTTTTTTTTTTTAAAATGACCCCTCCAGTATGCTGGCTCTTGCTGACTTCAACCTAAATGCCTTATTATACTGTAGCCAGAACATGCTTTCTGTCCATCCTTCTTGATCTAAAATTTGCAAATGCCTGAAAGACAAAGGAATCATGAAATGCAGCTTAAAAAATACGTACTCCTTTCTTCTGAAAAGATCATTGCAATTTTTCTCCCTTACAGCTTAGCTTAAGACATAAAATAAATAAAAAAAGCAAAAATCCAAAAATCCCATTGGCAAATACAAGCTTTTTTTTTTTTTTCCCCCCAGATTGTTATTAACTATCTTCACAGTAATTGGCTACCACTGAGGGTATAGCTCTTCTGTGTTGACTTGTATGTTAGCTTGTAAAAGCACTTCTGGCAAAAAAAACTGGCTTTAGATCATTGCAGGACCTTCATTTATGAGAGGTGAAACTGTGGAGCTCTTCTTTGTTCCTGCTGTTCCCAGGGTACCATTACAAGGAGTGAAGTGATTTTGTATAGATGTACGTTTGTGTTTCTTCTGCTTATTTATATCAATAGAAGCCCGTTGAGCAGAATTTGCCCTTATTACATGCTATGGAGTCAAGCCATTTCATTTTTTTCTCTACTCTAACCTTGATTTTTTAAAGAGGGCCACTGCAGCATTTCAATACATCTTGGGATTCATACTAAAGCACTTTAGAAACAAGTATCAGAACTGCATGTAACTTTGATAAAATATACATGAAACCAAGAGAGAGCTCTGCAACAGGAAGCTAAAGGGTTTTTATTTGATTGAGAGCACTGCTAGGGCTGGCGGGGGTTCCTTTGTGTGTTCTCCTGCGTAGAAAATAGCTGCAACCCTATAATCTATTGGCAATACAGTGCCACTGTGAGCCGTCAAGGGGAGATTTAGTACCAAAATCAAGCCACACTTCAGAGGTCTTTCCGACTATGCTCGTTTCAGTTGTCTTTGTGTTTCTGTGGGGGAGAGGAAGGCATAAGAGTAAAAAGAGTTTGGGATAGGCATGTGGAGCAGGGGTATGTCACAAATAGGTCTTGTCTTTTTAGGGAAGGACCCGGTCGTGTGTGCTCTCTCCTACTCTCCCACTCAGTGCATTCACTACCCACAGAGCAGGAGGAGAGTGATTCCTCGCCCCCCAAATGAAATCCCATTTAATATCATTCTGCCCTCTCTTCTCAGGGCTTAAATCTTTTTTTCACTCATCTGTAATGCTTTAGGGCACAATACAAGTAAGAAGTGAGGCAGGGACTTGTGACTTGGCTCACCAAACAAGCACAGAAGTTGGAGCACGTTTGAGAGATTTCTCCTGTGGTCTGTAAAGCAGCGTTCCTGGCAGCAAAGCGCCGCGACCAATATGGTATTGTTTTCTGCTCACTGTGGCAGGAGCTCCCTGTTGTTCAGAAGCCACAGATCGTCATGCTTCTTTGAACCTTTTCTTGCTATCGTCTTGCCTATTTTGAGGCTTTTATTACTTTGTTAGTACACCTCAGCCAGGCCTCCTCTTCAAGCCAAAGAGCCGTCTTATCCGTGAGCATCTCTCTGGGGTACCAGGGAGAATGCCCACCCAGTGCAACGAAGGCAGCAGAATCTCAAGCGCTGCAGCTTCACCTCTGGTGGGGTTTGGAAGCATGGCTGTAAAAAAAAAAGAAACAGGGTACTTACGTGGGTGAGTCTTCCCAACACTGTAGTAACGCTGAGATCAGATTTGGTCCCTCAAGGTATTGTAAAATTAAAGCAGCTTTAATTTCCACTGAGAGGCTGTATTTAGCAGAGAGTAAAAATGATTTGAGTTGTCTCTCTGCTCAGATATCCACTCTGACATGTGCCAAGTGCTCACTGTGACAGCCAGGGGCTGCAGTCCGTACGGATACCCTCTGCTCAGGTTTCACTTTCGATTCTTTTATTTCCATTTAAATATGTTTTTTTGCCTTTTCCCTCCTTTTTGGCAACACATCCCTCTATTGTGCTCCTCTGAGAAGTGACATATCCATTATGGATGCCATGTTATTTAGCATTTGTACTCCAGAGGAAGATGCCTAAGCGTAACTTCCTCAGTACATTCATGGGTGGGGTCATCTCATGCAGACCGAGTGAGTGTGAAGGAGAAAAGCTTTCAGAAAAAGTGGAATATATCCCAGAGCCATTTCTAGACCTTCCCGCATATGCAAGTCTTTGGTCTTGAGGTCACTCCAGATCCACTACCTGTGTTTCTCTTCCCATAGTCTCCTTTTCCACTTTTTCAGTTCCTCACCCATACATGCTGCCTTGGAGCAAGCTCTGTGGCACAGAGGGATAAAGACACCCCTCCTGTCCATGGTGTACTCTCTCCCCCAGTCTTGCTGAACATCTAGCACAGCAGAAAAAAGCTTTACTCTGCTGCCCCCCAACCCGTGCATAGCAAAAGGTGAGGCTGGGGTTGCGCTTGCATGCAGTTTAGCGGCTGGTATTCCCTCTGTGTGCTAAAGATGTGTCAGCTGTGAAACGTCCTCTGGTAAAACCAGTCACCACAAATCAACTCTCCCACACCACTGCCCTGCTTTCCCAGCTTCTGAAGTGGTCTGTAAAGAACAACAGAAAGACACTGATGTCTTCTTACTCATGTCTATATTAACAGACATCTAGATCTCTGGTTTTCTGGACCACTCATGCCTGCAAAAATTGAGTGCCTCACTGCCAGTCACAGAGGACCATAAGGATAACCATACTGGGTCACACCAAAGGGGCATTTAGCCACAAGTCCTGTCTGATGAGACAGAGCCAACAGAAAAAGCCTTCTGCTTCTCACAATGGGCATGGTGAACACCTGTACACTCAATTCCATTTCTTCGCTTTTGCTAATGTGCCATGGGAGCAGCAGCAGACCAGAAGAGGAGCACAAGAGGCAGAAACACTGAGCCTGGCAGGAGTGGGCAGCAAGGCACAAGACTAGAGAAAAAGCCATGCAACATCCAAGAACCAGACATGGGTATGTTCCAGATTTTAACCAGAGGAACATACCGACACTGCTCCGGAGCAGAGAAGGTGCCTCATCTTCTGTTGGCACAGAGCCTCAACTGTAGAAACACAGTCAAGTTGCTCTTAAGCTGCTTCAACTGAATTAGCTTTGCTCTCAGAGTAATTGGAACAAGCTGAAAGAATTACTATTTCTCCATTCTTTATGCAGATTTTATTAAGAGAACAAATGAGCGAGGGTAGAATTAAGCAAACATTTCGCTAAGATTAACTTCCTCTAACCTCACCAAAGGATTAGGAATGGAACAATACAGTGATCAAATCAGGGTCATAACTATGGCTGAATCAGCAAGTCTAGAGGTTTTAATTACACACCAAATAAATCCAGCAGCAGGCCCCCTAAATCAAAGCACAAGTCCGCACTACCTTTCATGAGAACAATCTGCTCTGGGTTAATTCCGCATCAAGGATTAAAGAGGAGGCTGCTTTCCCTCCTGATACAGTCCCAAGCAGTGCTCTAACGCTGGGCTCACCAGAGCCACACAGCAGCACCCATCTCCAAGGGTCAGACAAGAGTGGCTTCTCTTGTCGGTGGGTTCTCACTCCCAAAGGTCCCTTCTGCATTCCGATCTGTGTGGCTGCATAGGGAGGAGGAGCTCTGAGGCTTGGAGTGCCTCGGGTCTCCATCTGGGAAAGACGAGGCAGGACGGGTGCCCAGCAGGGTTGCAGCCGACTCAACGCTCTCCCCTTCATGTTGCCACTGGTATGCCTAAGCCATTTTCATTCTTATCTCATTAGCATTATTAGCTGCAGCAATTAAAAATAAAGCATGAAAATGTCAGTAACGATCATTACTTGGAGGCATTCAACGGCTGTAAACTTATTGGAGCTCCTCATTTGTTTTCCAAAATTGTATTAGGCCTGCATTTTTCAAAGGCTGCACATTATTTTTAATAACATTGAAATGTTCATTTAATGTGCATTTCCTCACTAGCAATTTGGCTCCCTGCTATAAGCTGTTACTGCCTTACTAAAAGAAAATTCACTGTATTTTTGAAAATGCTATTAAATATACAGATATTTTGTAGAAAACCCTGGAATGTAAGCAATAAAGCAGCGTCCTCCTGGGGCTTTTTGTCTGTAAGCAATTATAAAAGAAACCTGGGTTACTGAAGTGGCAATTCTGCATTCGCCTTGCAGGTTCTGTTGAGGGAAAGGGTACTCGCTTGTTATCAGAGGGAAAGCTTTGGCTGGGAAGGATCCTCAACCTGGAAAAAATCACCAATTCAGTTTTTGCCCCATAGTGAAATCCTAATGCAGAAGGCTCCCTTGCAGACCCAGACAGGGGGAAGAAACAGCATTTACCTACCATAACACAATGCCAAGGCAATGAGAGAATAAATATGGCCAGTCTGATGGTTCCCTGAGTCCCGTGAGGTACAACCTTTGCACTATCTCACGCTAGCAGGGATCCAACTTGTATGTACACTACTTTCTTTTCTCTTGGCATTGTTTCCAGGTAAATTGCAAAGCAAAAGAAATTGCAACTGGGTTAAATGGATTTTTGCTGCATGTTCCCCTGAGCCCAGCTTTTGGGGATGTCGGGCACAGCAGCGAAGCTCTAGATAACCCTTTAAAATTATTTCACGCCCCCCATAAAATCTTGAATTCAAGATTCTCCTTGAATTACTGAAAATATTCAGGAAGACAATACCCTAGATAAGGAGATATCTACTGGTGAGCAATACAGCATAGCAATTATGTGCCAATAACCGTGGTGCCAAACAACAATTCACTCTGGGATCTTAGGCCTGACCTGGGAAGTACGTAGGTTATGACAAAGATTTTCTCTTAAAAGACAATATTAAATTCATTAGTTGTGAGAGTTGTGAAATTTTGACAAACCTATGGGATAGGTAGAAAAGCCTTTTATTTTCAGTTACAAGCTGCCTTCCACTTCTGGGCAGGCTATTTAACCTCTCCATGCTTCTGT